CGCAAAAATAATTGATAAAGTTTTAATATAGTCAACGCATTATTGGTTGTATCATTATAACGTAAGCTTCTTTTCTAACGAGGAGCAATATAGTCACAGGTGCAAGAGCATCTTCTGATAATGGGTACACTAACCTGAAAGCAAAATTCAAAAAAATGATCATCGTGGTACCACCATAATTACAGTGAATATGTAATGCATAGTTTATACAATGAAGTGTGTGTAATTGTGTGGGCGTACTTTTCTCCATCCAAAAGTATAGGCTTCAGTAGTACCAACTGGCACATAGCAAGCATCCCATGCAAGCATTGTGACATAATCTAAATCCCTATTGTTTATTATCATGCTATCATTATCCCTTGCTTGTTTTATAACTCACGTTAGATCAGGCCAGCATTGTTGTCCTCCAGATGGAATGCTGCAGTTACCTCTTATTGGTAAACATTTTCTGCCAGCATACCACCGAGGGAAAAAGTTCTGTCTCAAGTCAACCCATCCTGCTTCCTATGCAAGACATGAATAAAGTACATATATGATATACTAATGATTATTATGAAAGACTTACCAGCTTGCAGCCTAGCTGATCCCCAACCCAACGACGTATGGTAAACTGCTCTGAAGCATTGTATACCATATCTGGGAAAAACGTTCTGTTAACCATGGTACGAGGTAGTGTAACCAATTCTAATGATGAATAATAATTATGAAGTTTTAAAAGGAGCAAAATAGCTCATTAAGTGGAGCTGGTCAGAATATACCTGGAGGAATGGGTGGATTTATTGGTGGATTCATTGCTGTTGGGTCTTCCAGCTGTGTGTAGGTAGAGTCAAAATCAGGACCTAAGTGTCCATAGAGTAAAGCAATGTCAAGATAAAGGAATTGACTGGCTGCCAAGTCTCTCCTGAAATACAATTTGACAAGATGTGGTGAAATATTATTTTTTGCATGGAGTACCTTGAGTATGCTGGTTGCCAGATATCACCTGGTCCTCTGGGTTGTAAAGGTAAGACCAATGGATCATCCCTGCAATTCAATAGCGTGTTTATACCCCCATAAGAAGAAGGTATGTAGTTGCTTGAATGGACTACTGTGGCAATGAGGCAGAAAAAGAAAGCAATGCCGATGGCAGCCATACTTCCTCCACCCTTTCTCTAGAATAAAAGACTTTTTCTGCGCTGGTGCTCATTTGTACTGGCCGGGTTGTGGCGGAAAGACAGCTAAGGCGGCCTCATTGTGCAGCAACATCTCATCTCTGCAGTGCTCTAGCTCGCTCTTCCAGCGCAGCCACTCCCACTTAACAACACCCACACATCAAATTGCCTTCTAGGTGTGGTCATACTTTAGGCTCCACCTATTTCTTTGCACCCAATCAGAACGAGACAAGTCAGCTTTCATGGAGAACCAGTTGTGTGTTCTACTCCTCTCTCTCTGTTTACTCTCAGTCGTCCTCAGTAAGGGAAAGGAAGACAAGGATGAAACTGACTATTACAAGTTGCTCGGGGTGTCCAAGGATGCCAGTGAGAAAGAGATCAAGAGAGCTTTCAGGAAACTTGCTGTAAAGTATCATCCTGACAAGAATCCAAATAAAGAGGAGGCCCAGGAAAAATTCACTAAAATAGCAAATGGTATGTGTTTCAAAATGGAGGACTTAATTTGTGGTCAAATTTTGCACAAACATCAGAAACTGTGGTGCCTTTGCTTTTAAATTGGCTCTACGTAGCATAAGGGCATCAATGTGTATCAGAAAATGTAATAAAAATTGGGAGTGTTTTTGGAGCCATTTTTTGAAAAAGCCATAAGCAAAAACCTATTCTATTGTCACGAAATCTGCGACAAGTAAAACCCATTTGTTCAATTATCACGAAATCCATGACAAGCAAAAACCCATTGGTTCCATTGTCACGAAATCCATGACAAGCAAAAACCCATTTGTTCCATTGTCACAAAATCTGTGACAAGAAAAACCCATTGGTTCCATTGTCACGAAATCCGTGACAAGCAAAAACCCATTTGTTTCATTGTCATGAAATCCGTGACAAGCAAAAACCCATTTGTTCCATTGTCACGAAATCTGTGACAAGCAAAAACCCATTGGTTCCATTGTCACGAAATCCGTGACAAGCAAAAACCCATTTGTTTCATTGTCACGAAATCTGTGACAAGCAAAAACCCATTGGTTCCATTGTCACGAAATCCGTGACAAGCAAAAACCCATTTGTTTCATTGTCACGAAATCTGTGACAAGCAAAAACCCATTTGTTCCATTGTCACGAAATCCGTGACAAGCAAAAACCCATTTGTTTCATTGTCACGAAATCCGTGACAAGCAAAAACCCATTGGTTCCATTGTCATGAAATCCGTGACAAGCAAAAACCCATTTGTTTCATTGTCACGAAATCTGTGACAAGCAAAAAATCATTTGTTCCATTGTCACGAAATCCGTGACAAGCAAAAACCCATTGGTTCCATTGTCACGAAATCTGTGACAAGCAAAAACCCATTTGTTTCATTGTCACAAAATCTGTGACAAGCAAAAACCCATTGGTTCCATTGTCACGAAATCCGTGACAAGCAAAAACCCATTTGTTTCATTGTCACGAAATCTGTGACAAGCAAAAACCCATTTGTTCCATTGTCACGAAATCCGTGACAAGCAAAAACCCATTTGTTTCATTGTCACGAAATCCGTGACAAGCAAAAACCCATTGGTTCCATTGTCACGAAATCCGTGACAAGCAAAAACCCATTTGTTCCATTGTCACGAAATCTGTGACAAGCAAAAACCCATTGGTTCCATTGTTACTATTAATCCAGGACTTTGACACGATTTTTGAGCATCTTTAAAAATTTGTAAAAAAATCCAAATTTGATCAAAATCAGTTCAAACTTTCTACACAACATAAGAACATGTATATGTGATCAGGAAAGTCATAAAATTGAGGAACTTTTTACTTTTCATTTTTTGCAAAATTTGACCAAAATCCCTGTACTACATGTACAAGCCACCATTTTCCAATTATTTGTTACACCTACATGTATACCTTTATTCTCAAAATGCAAATTTGGCACTTCATGTATTTTTTATGATTTATTTTTGTGATTTTTTCTACCTGCAGCATACGAAGTTTTATCAGATCCTCAGAAAAGGAGAGAATATGACTTGTACGGGAAAGATGGAGGCCCTGGAGGACCCACTTTCAACTACAATGATTTCTTTGGCGGAGGTGACAGCCACTTCACGTTCGAGAGCATGTTTAAAGACAGTCCCTTCTTTGACGACGACCCTATATTCACTGATTTTTTCGGCCATCAACCACGTAAGAATATTTTAAGAACCTTCCTTTAGTTTGGCAGAGCCTCATAGCAGATAAAAAATATTTTTTAAAGATAAATTTATTTTTGAATTTAGATTCTGAACATTTTGGAGGGGGACACCATGGAGCTCATGACATGCATGCTGATTTCTTTGATCAAGATCCTTTTTTTGGAGACTCCATGTTTCACGCTGACTTTGGCAACATGGGGGGAGGAGGAGGTGGTGGTGGAGGAGGAGGAGGAGGTAGATGTGCTAGATTTCCTGTTTTTTTTAAGTTTTACTTATATTTTATGTAGGTCGTTCTTGCAGGACAGTAACAAGGAGAGTCGGTAATACAGTATCAACTACAACTACATGTTCTTAATATTATAATTTTTATAGCTTATTGTATTATCATTATTTACACTGTTGCATTATAAAATATATAAACATTTCAATCGTCACATGACTAACATAGAATTGTCTTTCATTGAAGTGGCTTCAGATGTGTGTGTGTGTATATATATAATGTGTACAAGTAAGCTCAGATTCCATATTCATTGAAGTAATGGAGTGGATAGTAGTAGCAGCAGCAATAGTGTGCCTTTTGGTGCCATTTAATGAAGGAGTCAGCCAGAGGAATGATTCTTTCTTGCTGGTAACATCCTCCACTGTTGATTTCAATATAACTGATGTGGCTGACAGTGTTCAAGTAGCAGTCAATGAAGTACTAAGAGAGTCTTTACTGCATAATTTCAACTATAGAGTCTTTCAGACCCAGGTTAGTAGCCCTTCCTCACCTTTAAAGGATTTACTGTCTATTTAACAGTGCAATGGTTCACTGAGTCCTAGTGACCTACTGAATGAATTGAATATAAAGTCAGTGGAGGCTATTGTCCTTGGATTTGGTTGCACTAACAGCTCACTCCTCTCTGACAGTAAATGGAATGATATCCAGCCAATGCTACCACCCATTGTATGTGACACCTTTTTGTTACATTGTCTTTTATGATTCTACTTTGTTTTTTATATTAACTAGGTGTCTTATGCTTCACTTAAAAATTGGGACGGCTTAAGAGAGTCTTTTTCTGTAGTGAGAGTTGTTCCTTCGTATTCACAATTGGCTCAAGCTTTAGCTAAATTGGTCTCTCGTTTCAACTGGAAACAGGTCCTTCTCATAACAGAGGAAATTGCCGTATCACTAAAAGTAAATATGACATAATTATACAATACCCAGGCACTATGGTACAATAACATTAAAAAAGAAAAACAAACAGCAAAGCTATTTGACCACCAGCAAAAGCAACAGGTGCCAGCAACAGTGCAAATAGCAGCCTCAAAAGTATTAGTACACAGTTCATTAGAACCTTGTGGTGTCTACCAGAAGTATCCTGTTGCCAATACATTGTTATCACCTATATTTTTAATAGGATTTTAGAACCGAGTTTAGCAGTGGAGGGATCGCTGTTGACATACAATCATTAAATGGCAATATATCGAGCAATTACAAAAATGTAACAGATACATGATTATTATAGTTATAATTGGTCAATAATTGTATTTTAGTTAGTAATAGGAGACAAACGAGTCATCATACTTGACACTAAACTTTCAACGGCAAAACAAATCATTTGCAGCGTAAGTTCTAAGGCTTCATAATGTATACTCCTCATTTTTGTTCCTTGTAATACAATTATTATTCATGTAGCTCTTTTGTATTGTTGCTCTTGTGACAAGTGTTGTTTTAACAATAGGCATTCCACAGTAGGAAACATTATCCGGGATGCGCTTGGATTGTAATAGATAACTTTGTCTCATCCAGATGGTGGGAGGATCAAGTAAATGTTGATTTGACCTGTACCAACGAGCAACTTGAGCACGTGCTAAATTTCTCTCTCACTGTCGGCATTCACCCCCCAGCAAAAGTACATAATATTTTTTTATTCTATATTAATTTTTTTAATTAGGAAAATTCTCTACGCTTTGCTGCATATGCTCATGACGCAGTGACAGCAGTTGCACTAGCACTCAACAAAAGTGTTACATTAGGAGATGCATTTAATATAAGCTCGTTCAGTGATGTTTCATTTGAAGGACAATCTGTAAGTTACACTACCAAGAACTGAATCTAATGTTATGTATTGTATCTATGTAGGGTTTGGTTGGGTTTACAAAGTTTGATAGGGCAAATGCATCTCTTTACATTAATCAAATGAGAATTATCAATGATACTTTGGTGCCTAATGGCGTTGGAGTATATAGTTACATCACAAACGAGCTGAATGTAACATCATCTGACAATGAAATATGGCCATGTAAGTTATAGTGTAGATCTACATCATACGTTATGCCATTGCTATTGTATACAGTAGGAGTGCCGTCTGATGGAATACCAGTCATGGTTATTGTTACACTCAATAATATTTTATTTTATGTCTCAGCTGGACTGACTGTTATTGGGGTAGTCTGGACAATTATTTGTTTCTTGTTTCTTGTCATATACAGAAAGGCTAAGTAATTGCATCCATGATTGCACATGTACATGTTTTAATAATTTTTTAAAGGATCATTCGTCTGACGAGTCCAAAGCTACACTACCTCATGTTGATTGGAAGTTTCATTGCATATTCCTCGCAGGTTCTTTATACTCTTCCAATCACTGATTCGATTATTCTTGAAGTGATATGTTCAGTGAGTTACAGTATTTATATTGCATGATCTCCCTCGTACTCTCTCCAGGTGAGGCTTGCTTTGTTGACTGTGTTTGGTTACAATATTTGCCTTGCTGTTGCTACCGTTAAGTTGTGGCGGATTTATTATATCTTTGTTAATCCTAAACCAAATAAAAAGGTATGTTGACAAATATAATAATACTATTTTGAAATGTTCTTCTTCTAATAATAGATTCCAAAAGATGGGCACTTGATGATTGTTATATTGGCAATAACTGCTGTCGATTTCACTGTCCTACTAATCATTGTGGCATTAGAGAATATCTATACATCACCACAACTTCAGAAGAGTGAATTTTACACAACACAAATCAATCAAGTATGCCTGATATTTGAACTAGTTGTTATTGTTCCTTACTTTGCTTGTAGACCACAGGTGAAGTCAAGGAGTTTTATTTGCTGATCTGCAACAGAGGCAACTACTTTAGGATGATACAGTCATGGACCTTTATACACAAGATAATAATTCACAGTGCCTCTCTCTATTTTTCCTTTCGTACTCGCAAGATAAAAGTCCCAGTACTAAATGAGTATAAGTCAACATCAGCCAGTGCCTATTCTACTGCAGTGTTTATAGTACTTACAGCAATACTGCTCTTCCCTCTTGCCAACTATCCAAACATTTACGTGATTTGCTACACTTTATTGCTATTTACGTTGATTTCCATCTTTGTCTCATTCACATTCATTCCAAAGGTATAATTATAGCAAATGATGATTCTAAAATCATTATTAACAATGATCTTTTTTGGTACTATCTACAGATGATTGCACTGTGCAAAGATCCAAAAGGAGACAAAATCTTTCAGGAAGAGAAAGTGGTAGATGTTCTTAGTCCTGCAGGAACAGAAAACTTTTAATGTTATCTTTTAATTTGTTGTAAAATATTTAATTTTAATTAAGAGCACTTTTATGGTTTTAAACCCATATAAATGCTGGATCTCTAGACATTAATAGATCTAATCTCTTGGTGATGTCTGCTCGGTCAGTTATGGAGGACAAAGATCAGTATGGACACCCTAGAATACCCCACAGGGGACATTATGACCCTAAGAAATGTAATCAGAGGAGGCAATGGGCAGAAAAGTTCACATCATCTTCCCTGAGTAGCCTGGGGGAATGGTGGAGCAAGGAAGGTTAGCAGCCACACCTGCCTACACCTACTCTGTTGACATTCTGTATATTTATATCAGGTGAAGATGACAGTAGATCCTGTTTAAAATTAAAGGGCAACATTGAGAATGCAATAGGACTCGCAAAAGTACCAATTGGTGAGAAATGTATTTTCATATGTTCTGAAGAATCCAGGGCTCTTCCTTATTAAATTGTACTTTTTTTGATTTAATTAATAAACCATTGCTTGATACTACATTGCTAGGTTTGGTTGGTCCTGTCCTAATTAAAGGTGTGGATGTATCTGGCTATGTAATCTGCCCCTTTGCCACCACAGAAGGTGCTCTGGTTGCTTCAGCTACAAGGGGTGCCGCCTTATTGACACGCTCCGGAGGCGTGAGAACCAAAGTGATCGAACAGGTAATGATACGCACTCCGGGCTTTGCCATGGAGTCTATGGAAGATGCAGAGTTTCTCTACTCCTGGGCTCTCATTAATAAACCCGGTCTTCAGAAGCAGGTCAAGCTGTTCAGCCAGTTTGCGAATCTTTTTGATCTGAGGGCTCAGCGTTTTGGGAGGAACGTTATGCTGATATTTAGGTACAGCACAAACGATGCAGCTGGACAGAACATGGTGACATCCGCCACTTGGCACTCGTGTAGGTGGCTCATCAAAATGTTTGAGTCGGAGAATCCATCAATTAAGATAAAGAAGTTCTTTATTGAAACAACCCTCAGCGGTGACAAGAAGGTTGCCTGGGTTAACTTTTATTCCTCCAGAGGCGTCCATGTTATTGCAGAGGCTTGGATACCTGAGCCTGTTCTGAAAGACACATTTAAGGTATTGCATCTCATCATGTTCTCACGAATTTACTAAAAGATGTTAGCTAATTTTGGTTTGATTTTATGATAAGGAATTAAATTTATATCTTTTTTTTTAATTTCACGAGTAGATCACCGTCGAAGACTTGCTTCACATATACCATTTGATGGTAAAGGCTTCTGCTAGGATCGGTAGCATTGGGTTTAGTGTCAATGTTGCTAATGCGCTGGCAGCGATATTCACTGCAACTGGACAAGATATTGCCTGTGTTGTGGAGAGCACCTCAGCAGATCTTATCTTAGAACCTTTACCAGGTAATAATAATAATTACCACTTACCTAATACAGTGATTTTCCTTAAACTTGCATGATAGGCAAGCAGAAATGTGTCATGCACATGCTCAGTTGTGGTCAGGAATAAAATGGATGCACCTACTTAATACTGATCACAACAGAGCATGTGCATAAAGGCCCCCATACACTAGGCAACATGTTGCTTGCAACATCTGTGGTTACTTTGATCTTGTCAGCAACATGTTGCCAGAAATAGAAGGCTGGTCTATTTCTGGCAACATGTTGCTTACAAGATCAAAGTAACCACAAATGTG